AAGAACACAAATTGCAGTTATAAGGCGATCTCCATTATCACACTTCCTTACAAAATGAATGTTTTATTATTGTAGTCTCCAGAACTGATGAACTGTAAATACGCTGCGACTGATGTCAGTGCGTTAGCCGAAAGTATGCGTTTCTTGACTTCAAAAAGTATCCACTGATTCGGGATCTATGGTGGGATGGGGATGATGATATCTATATTATCTTTGGTACCAAGTTCAGTGGCTCTTGGTGCTCTGCTTTATAATTAGGTGCCCTTTTGAATTTATTTATTTATTCATTCTTGACCATGCAGGCAAAAATCCAAGTGCAACAGATAGCAGGTCACGTAGATGAATGTAACCTTGAAAGAGATGATATTGGGTTTGGGGTAGACTGGGTAGTGGTGGTCTCCCTTTGACCGGGGTTACTTTCTCTTTTCTTTTCTGAGTGATGTGTGTGTAAATATATTTGTCATGTTGCTCTATTTTTTTTTCTTGTTAGTTTTGTTCGGAAATACCCTGATTTAGTTTTATGAGGAGAGTGAAACATAAAATCTTTTATATAAGTCAAAAATGCATCACATTAGTTGAGCTAACTCATTTTGAAAGGAATGCGTATTATTATATTACGTTATATACTTAATATAATACTATAATTATATTATATATTATTTATCTTAATATATTATATATATATATTTATATATAATATATATTATTAACGCGTGTCTGTTTTTCTTTATACATTAATATACTGTAGATTACCGGTATTATACTTGGAATTGTAAATGCTGATGCGATGGACGCTCATCGGCTTTGACTTCTTTGAAACATATACTGATATTGACTATTTTTTTCATGTTTTTATGAGGTATTTTGAGATGAGGGAGATAGGGGAGAAAGAAGTTGAAGAGCCGAACAATTCACTTTGCCCCCTACCCCCCCCCCCCCCCCCCCCCCCCCCCCCCCCCCCCGCCCCCCCCCCCCCCTCCCCCCCCCCCAACCACTCCCCCCCTACCACCCCACACCAACCAATTGAATTAATCAATTTTACACATGCTGGTGTGTTGATGTTTCATGACTAAATCATGATCGCTAAAAGACACTCAACTACATTTTTACACGCTTTTAGTACCAAACAAATTTTTTTTTGTTATTTTAAATCAATTTGTAAGAGACGAACCTTCGTGGTAGTACTATGATCTGAGTATTCATTATAAAAAACAACATTCTTATTTCATTAAATAAGAGGTAGTGGATTTAATAATAATCCCTCAAACGCTACAGTAGAAGAAGTTCTGTTGACTTCCTCCTCCAATGCAAGGAGTATATATTACCTTTACAAATATAAGCTTTAGAGGATTTTAATACTAGAAATATTACAAATACTTCCTTTTTCAAACAAATATCTACATCTAAAAATCTATTATCTTTAGCTTATTAGCAACAAAGCCATGACCATAATAACTCTTCACCTATAAATACCTTCTTCCCTCTTTAAGTTTTGTTGCCAACGAAAAAGCTTTTCCAACTCCAGCGGAAAAAAAAAAAACTAGGGTTTTAGATCGAGTTATGCGCACATCATGGGCTGACTCCGTGCCGACTCCTCGTCGCCCCTCCGCCGCCGCCGCGCCGCCGCCGGCCGATCCTCCTACGTCCCTCCTACCTCCGCAGGACCGCAGCCTCCTCCCCTCCTCCGATCGCCCCCGCCGCCCCCCCTCTGGGGCCCCACCCGCCCTCCTTCGGTGGGCCCCGCGCGGAGCCACGAGCCAATCCCTTCGCTAACGCGAGCGAGCGCGTTCGATGGGAGATAACACCGCGCGAGACAACTCGACGCCTACGAGGACATCCCCGTCGAGACCAGCGGCCGGGACGTGCCGCCGCCGGCGAACACGTTCGCCGAGATCGACCTCGGCGGCGCGCTGAACGAGAACATAAGGAGGTGCAGGTACGATTTGGTTAGAAAATACAAAGAATCATGTGATTTTTTTTATAGTGAAGTTGTAGGGCATTAGAATCTTAGGCAAATGTTTGATAATCAAACGAATGGCATGTATGAAGAGTAAAATTCTATTCGTTTACGAACCGAGTACTCGTTTACTATTAAATGGACTGCAAACGGGATAGGTACGTGAGGCCGACGCCAGTGCAGAGGCATGCTATTCCGATATCGCTGGCCGGACGAGATTTGATGGCGTGTGCGCAGACTGGTTCCGGGAAGACGGCGGCGTTTTGTTTTCCGATCATTAGTGGGATTATGAAGGGGAAGGAGTTTGGGCAGAGGGGAGGGAGGACTGCTTATCCGTTGGGGTTGATCCTGTCACCGACGAGGGAGCTGTCGGTGCAGGTAATTGTTTTCTTTTTTGGTGTTGAGGGGGTTGGGTTTGGTTGTTGGGTCTGTTGATTTTGATTTTTGTTGTTGTTTTTTTTGTGATGTGTAGATTCACGAGGAGGCGAGGAAGTTTGCTTATCAGACTGGGGTTAGAGTGGTGGTTGCCTATGGCGGTGCTCCGATTAGCCAGCAGGTTTGCGGTTTACCATGCTTTTAGTTTGGGTTCAAATTTGTCATCAATTTTGTGTAGTTTATGTTGTGTTTAGCGTTGGATGAGTTTGTGTAAGATTGTTGATCCTGTTAGCAACTTTAGCATGCTCTGCCTTTCTATTAGACTTCTAAATAGTATAGGATAGATTTGGAGGATTGCTCGTAGGTAGTCGGAGTGTAAGCTTCATTTGCTAAATGTCCTGCAAAGTCTCATGACATGCTATTCTTTGGCTAGGGTTTTGTTGACCAGGAATTTTGTATCAAAACTCTTGAGGATTAGTGACGGTGACCTTGTATGGTGCTGCTTTGAAGAATTCGTTTGTGCACAAGTTGTGGTTGTGTTTAAATTTAGCAATGTAGTTTGGATAGTACGGAGTAATCCAGGCTAATAACTATGGAATAATTGAAGCAGTTATCATTCTATACTGTTACTTGTGGTTGGCTTCAGCAACTTCACATCTTCACCTAGAGTTTAAGCTTTTATATAATGTAGGACAGGATTAGAGGATTGTCTTTTCGTTATAGGAGTTTAAACTTCATACCCAATAATAAAACTCAGTGAGCTGCCACATTGCCTAATGGTTCCTAAGGTTCTTTCTGAGCTTACTGACTTAGTGCCTGAAAGTGTGATACCTAAATTACCACAGTATGTGATGAACTATGCCAAATTTAATAGGACTTTGAAATTTTCTGGCAAGACACGCTGGAGATAGATTCACAGGGTTGAGTTAATTTGAAACCATTATTGATCGTCACCGTGGGAACCTATATATTCGTATTGTGTCACTATGTCCTATATGGCCTGATATATCAAGGTTATACTCTGGAGAGATGTGACTAGGAGAACCAGTGTGGTCGATTACTTTTGGCAGATCACCGTTGGCTACCTACTTCTTCTTTGTCACTTTTCTTCTGTTGGAGATTAGATGCTTGTAGACCAAAAGGTCTGAAGACTCTGAACCTATGATGCACGGATATGGATACGGGACACAGATACGACACGGAACGGATACGGGATACAGCAAAATCCAAAAAAATAGGATACGGGGATACGGCAAGGATTTAAAAAAAAATATTATTATATATAGAAAATTTTATAAAATTCAACTAACAATCTAAAATATGAATCTATCACAAAATAACAAATTTGTAAACAAAAAGTACCTCAAGATGAAGTGGAAGCTGAGGGATTGAGAGAGGATTAGGGTTAGGGTTAGGGTTTTTTCTTATTTTCTTTCGTTTGAGTCAGCTGAGGATCGAATCGAACGGGTGATTTGAGAAATAGGGATGAGTTTTTTAATCGAACGGTTCGGGTTGGATTTTAACAACCAAACCCGCAACCCGAATGAATCGGCCTTCGGCGAATCTAAGCCGTGTCCGACCTCCTTTGACCGTGTCCGAGCCTAATTTGATCGTTGACCCGTGTCGGACACGGATTGACCGTATCCGACACGTGTCGTGCATGTGTCGTGACGAATCCGTGTCCGATTCGAGTCGGACACGGATTCGTCGCCTCCGGGGGCGAATCCGTGCTTCAGAGCTCTGAACTAGTGGGATTCCAACCCATAACACAGATCATGGCTTTGTTAGGGCCTCTGACTAATTTTAGCGCCGACAAGTTTCTCTGATGATTCTTTCCTCGACCTCAGGATGGTTAAGTAGACAGTTTTTAGAAGATTTCTCCTGCCTTTTATTGTTTTTGCCTACCATGCTTTTGACATCTGCTCTACTGAAGAATTCATATTATTTTTTGTTTAGCTATTATCGCTGTGCATGTATTTGATGTATCGGCCTGATTAAATTGAGAAATATGATTTAACCTTTAACCTGTAGTAACTTTCCTTTTTTCTGTACGTACGTTGACCTTTTTATGTAGCAATACCAGCTATTCACTAGACTGTTATATTCCCTGCAGTTGCGTGAACTCGAAAGGGGTGTTGACATTCTTGTCGCAACTCCTGGACGTTTGGTGGATTTGCTTGAAAGGGCTAGGGTTTCATTACAGATGATTAAATATTTGGCACTAGATGAGGCAGATAGAATGCTCGACATGGGTTTTGAGCCGCAGATCCGAAAGATTGTTGAACAAATGGACATGCCTCCATCAGGTGTCAGGCAGACCATGTTGTTCAGTGCCACATTCCCAAAGGAGATACAGGTTAGCTCCTCATCTAGTTGTATCTTTCACTATTTGTGACTGGCAATTTTGAGAAGTTATTCAGTTTTTTTATGGATTAGTCGCTTTGAAATTCCACGTTAATATATAACTGACTCGATACTATCTGTTCTTCAACTGGAACAAAATTTTAATGTCCTTGTCACATCATTGCATAGTAATTTTGACTTCCAAGACTTATTGATGTTAAGTTGCTGTAATCCTTTAGGAACTGATGTTCTTGTTGCTGCTTATCTGTATGACTGTATAGGCATCTGCAAAATGTAAAAGTGTGCATTTATGTCCTTCGAGGTCATGTATGATAGTTGTCATGCGCTTTTTTTACGGCATGTATTTTGGTTTTTGCATTTGCATGTATTCCAATTGTTATCTGCTTTGAATTTTGTTCGAATAATTAATGGAGACAACTATCTTGCAGTCTAATTCATATTTTATTATTATCTGCAGAGGCTGGCTTCTGATTTTCTTTCTGGTTACATCTTTCTGTCCGTTGGAAGAGTGGGCTCTAGTACTGACTTGATTGTTCAAAGAGTTGAGTTTGTTCTCCAGTCAGACAAGAGAAGCCATCTCATGGATCTTCTTCACGCGCAAAGAGCTAATGGAGCTCACGGAAAGGTAACATTTGGCTTCCATTTGTCTTTTTTATGTTCTTATTACCCTATGCCAGCATGCATTTATTTTTTAACTTCACTTTAATTTATTATTCTTGCTCTTGTATGTATACTGTTTTTAAGTGAAGTAACTTGTCCTTTTGGATTAAAAATACTAGACTCTGACTTCGTGATTTTTGAGTAACGGACTTGCTTTGTTTTTGTGCAGCAAGCTTTGACTTTGGTCTTTGTGGAGACAAAAAAAGGAGCTGACTCATTAGAACATTGGTTATGTATGAATCAATTTCCTGCAACTACTATTCATGGTGATCGAACACAGCAGGTATGGTAAACCCACAATCATCAAATTGTTTATTGGTATTATCATTTTAAATTGCAGATATGGGATGACATAAGATAGCTGAAAGCTAAGCTTATAGTCCTTCAAGAATTCTTCTTTTCTAAAGGTTCGAAGGTTGTTCTACTTAGACCTCCGTAGCATTCGCGTAGTTGCTAAATCACTTATTTTAACCTTTAGTATCACTGGTGCCTGCACGGCCAATATTTTATCCTTGCGTTTAATCCGTTATTGACATCCTAATGGCATCCTGTTGATCTGTAGTGATGTACTTCATGTTCTGATTTTCACCATTAAACCAAATCCAATTATCCTTGTAAAGGCCACATACCTTGGATTTTATGCAAACGCTAGCAATAACTGATTGACATTGGTGCATGTTCCTCTTAGTTCAAATCATTTGCTTCATTACATAGTGCAAGCTTTCGGGAGTCATTTTGTTTGGCAACAGGCTTACAAATGAATGGGGCACAATGCATGTCTTCTTAAATGTTCTCGGTGGCTTTTAGCTACTATGGTACCGAATGATGAAAGGTTGCAAAATAATTTTTTTTTCTCACTGACTGAGGAGAGAAAATGCAGAAGAGGTCATTTTGTGTCCTTTTTTTTCGTCTGTTGGTAAAAATTCATCCGAGATCGTTTCATCTTCTCTGGGAAACAAGACCCAAGGTCCTTTTGTTCTTGCTTGACTCCTTCCTTGAACCTTGCAGAAGCTTTCTTTTCTTTAATCGCTTTTCCCATAATAATGATGAGGCGGAAAACCTCCACCGTGTTCTATTTAACTGGTCAAGAGAGATGTTCATAAGAGACGTACTTTCTGATCCCAACAACAAATGAAGTTCTTAAACAAATCAGGATATTCTTGAGCTACATATCGTACCTAGCATACACCAATATTTCAAATGCTTACCTAATGATCATCTCATTCGCTGTTATTAGGAAAGGGAATACGCTCTGAGATCATTCAAAAGCGGGCAAACTCCAATCCTAGTAGCAACAGATGTTGCAGCTCGTGGGCTCGACATCCCCCACGTAGCACACGTCATCAACTTCGACCTCCCCAATGATATTGACGACTATGTTCACCGTATTGGAAGAACAGGAAGAGCAGGGAAGTCAGGCCTAGCCACCGCCTTCTTCAACGAAGACAATGCCAACTTGGCGAGACCCTTGGCTGGTCTCATGCAGGAGTCCAATCAGGAGGTGCCAGCTTGGCTCGCCCGTTATGCCGTGATTTTCGGAGGGAATCCTCCTCTTATAAGACTGGTGGTGCTGTCGATAACTTCTACGGCGGCGATGGATATGCTAGCGCTGGAGTTGCCAGTGCTTGGGACTGAGTCAATCCCACTGCCTCAGAATCAACTAGATAGTTGGTTTCTTGTTCTTTGCTCTGTTAGGGTTTGCACATTTAGTACTTGATTGATTTCCCATTAGTTGTTGGTATTTGGAGGGGTGTTGGCTTGTGTAATGGAATGGTGGTGGAGTCTTACCCTACTTGCTTCACTTAGTTCTTTGTGTTTATGTAAACTTTTGATAGGGGGTTGTACAGGGTGGTGAGAGAGGAGATGAACTTGTTTTTTTGCTACTGCATTCTTTTTTAATCAGATGCGTCCACATTTGCTAGGGTTCTTTTGTTTGTTGTGCTCTTGTTACTTCAATGTTTTTGGTGGTTCTCCAGTCTGTAATCTTATGTCTATAGCTTCATCATAGGTAGTTCATATGCATGCCAAATACTAAAACTTGAAGAGCCAGAAATCTTCAAAGCATTGTACTTTAATGTTTACACTCTGGGGCTGTTTTGTTTGCCAAAAGGAAAAAAATGAGAAAACTCCTCCCTGCCATGTCACATTTCAAGAAATCCCTCTCTGTCACGTAGGATTTTGGTTTTAACCGATTTTAAGAAATGAGGGTGCCACGTAGGATGTCACGTCAGATTTTTAAGAAATGTGTTTTCACACTAAAAACCTTTAAAAACACTTGAAAATATCAATTTTATGAATTTTTAATTACTAAAAGAACTGTTGAAAAAGTCCATACGAATAAAACAGATTATTTAAATGCTGAAAATACTGTTACTATTGCGGCTGATTTCCCTTTCCCTTTATTTTTAAACAAACACAAGAAATGGAAAACTAAAAGCACTGTTACTATTGCGGCTTTTTTTGTTTTTTGTGCGACTTGACGGTGATACGTGGTGATTTCTTTGCGAAAAAAGAAAAGAAAAGTGGGAAATATCATGAAAACTATTGAAATCATTTGAAAACTGAGTTTTCCATTTCCGATTTTTTCCGGAAAACAACCAAACAGACCCTCTCACCAAATTCTTCTCTTCCAAACTTCTACGGTTCCTCCGTTTCACACGCATGCGTCCCACATCTTAAACTATAAATGCCCGGAATCAAATTAAATCTAGTGAAAAAGACGTAAAACCATCGATGATTCCAATCTTCAGTGTTACGATGAAGCTGAAATTTGTTGTACGACAGCAATTGTAGCTAGAGCCTTCACATGTCGCATATGATCGCTTCTCTTTTTGGTGCGCGAAAATTCTCTGTCACGTTTGATAGTTAATCCAAATTTGTTACGAGAGAAGAGAAGCTTCACACATTTACCTTGATAAATCAAGTAAGAGAAGAAAGCTTCACTTGTTAACCTTGCGGCAATAAGAGAATCTTCAAGCGCAAACCTGAACAAATCAAGTAGCCAGGTCCACAAGAGCAGTGCAAGCACTGAGCTGGCCTCTCTCTCTCTCTCTCTCTCTCTCTCTCTCTGTATGCTACTTCCCTCCAACAGCCTCATTTCAAATTCATGCACGCCCCGAACTCAACACACACTACAAATACCCCCCTCCCTCCTCCCTCCAATCTCACACATCAACACCCTCGGCAATGGCCTCTCTCAACTCCATCTCCCTCCTCTCCTCGGCATTTCTTCTCCTGATGATTACCCTGACCCCGAACGCATCAGCCTATCATCGGTCCAAGAATCTCAAGCTCAAGTTCAACCCTCCGTCAAATTCCTACATCGTCCACACTGACAACCTCACAAGACCCTCAATCTTCCCTACCCAATCTCACTGGTACGCCGTCGCCAACCAAACCGACGACAACCGCCGCATATTCTACACCTTCGACACCGTTATGCACGGATTCGCGGCCACATTGACCCCGGACGAAGCCCGAAAGGTCTCTTCAACGCCCGGAGTCATCGGCGTCTATAACGACTACAAGGTTGATCTCCACACGACGAGATCCCCAGACTTCCTCGGTCTCAATATCGGCGACGGCCTCTGGACCGATAGATTTGACACTGGCAATAATGTCGTTATTGGGCTCGTGGATACGGGCGTCTGGCCTGAGAATCCTTCGTTTGATGATACCGGGCTCCCTCCGGTTCCACCCGAATGGCGAGGGGAGTGCGAAGCCGGCGAGCGTTTCGATAGTAGCATGTGCAACAAGAAATTGATCGGGGCGAGGTTCTTCGCCGCTGGAGCTATGGCTGGAGGCCTCAGTTTTGACGAAGGAAACGAGTTCTCATCGCCGAGAGATAAAAGCGGTCATGGAACACATACTTCATCGACTGCTGCGGGCTCTGCAGTCGCCAATGCCAACCTGTTCGGGTTTGCTAACGGAACTGCACGAGGAATCGCAACTCGAGCAAGGTTGGCGATGTACAAAGCTTGCTCCGTATATGGATGCTATGGGACCGATATCATCCAGGCCATGGATTCTGCAGTCAAGGACGGGGTTCATATCCTCTCGCTCTCTCTTGGAGGAGAACCTCGAGAGTTTGACATTGATGTTCTGGCTATCGCCGCGTTCTCAGCTGTCCGAAATGGCGTATTTGTTGCATTCGCGGCAGGAAACAGCGGACCTGACGAGGGGACAGTCACTAACGTCGCTCCGTGGATCACGACGGTGGGGGCCGGATCGATCGATCGCAAGTTCCCAGCTCGTGTCACGCTAGGGAGCGGCGAAGTCTACATTGGACAATCTATATATCAGGGTTCTCCCAACTTTACAGGGATGGCTCCCCTTGTTTACGTGCCACAATGTATGGTGTCTGATACAAAAGTCAAGGAGAAGATCCTCGTCTGCGAATACGCAGACGTCGCATATTCGGGCATGCGGGTGGCTGCAGCTGGAGGCGTCGGTCTGATCGGACTTACTGGTTCTTTTGACGGTGAAGGAATCCCCGTTGAGTCATTCACATTGCCTGGTTTGACATTAGGCTACTTCGAATCACAGAAGCTGTTGAAATACATAAACTCGACCTCGAACCCAATAGCTTCGCTTCAATTCGATTATCGAACAATCGTTGGTGAGAGCCGAGCTCCAACAGTCGCAGCCTTCTCATCGAGAGGTCCTAACAGTGTCGTGCCAGATATTCTCAAGCCCGATATTCTCGCTCCAGGCATGAACATCCTCGCCTCCTGGCCTACTGAAACTCCTGTGACTGATGACTTGAGACGTGCAGGCTTCAACATAATCTCCGGTACTTCGATGTCCTGTCCTCATATCGCTGGTGTCGCTGCGCTTCTCAAAGCAGAACACCCAAATTGGTCGCCAGCAATGATTCGATCAGCGATGATGACCACAGCGTTCCCACTCGACAACAGTTATCGCCCAATTTTCCTCGACGAGAGCCTGAAGCCTGCAAACGCACTGGCGATTGGCGCAGGCCATGTCGATCCTGTGAGGGCGAAAAATCCAGGGCTGGTGTATGATCTAGGAGTACAGGACTACATCAATTTGCTCTGCACAATGAATTACACCGAGGAACAAATTAAAAGGTTTATGCCAGAGCCAAGCGCGTGCTCGAAATTTGGAGGAGGGGTGGGGGATCTCAACTACCCGTCTTTCGTAGCGATTTTCGACGCGGAGACGAAGGCGAGGACGTTGACGAGGACCCTGACGAAGGTCTCGGAGCTGCCCGAGACGTACGAGGCCAGAGTTGTCAACCCGAGACCCGACAAGGTCGAAGTGGTCGTCGAGCCGAAGAAGTTGTGGTTCGGAGGGCAAGGAGAGAGTCTGAGTTACAAGGTGCGGTTCGTGAGCAAGGTTGATGAGATCAGCTACACGGAGGTTGAGAGGGAGTACGGGTACATAATGTGGGAGAACACTGAGCATCAAGTGAAGAGTCCGGTCGTGTTCATGTGGAAATGATCAGATTCGAGTGATGTCAAGTTTACGTGTCTGAGAACAGAAAAAATATGAAATCATGTAGTTAAATAAGATCAAGAGCGAGTTTATGATGTGTTCTGTCAATTACCCTAATTTCAATGATATTTTTCTAGCTCATGCTGAATCGGAGTAAAATTAACTTGTTCAACCCACGAGTTTGCGGAGTTTTCAAGTAAATAAACATAAACTACTTCAAAATTTTCTATACAAGCGCAATGAATTTAAATGGGTCCTTGCTCTTGTATCATTTGATAGAGCTATCTTCTAGAAAATCATGGAGATCATCTTATTAACCAGAAAATTAATCATGTTCAAAATTTTCGCAGAGACCACAGATTTTATTTTTCATTAATGCCTCATGGACCTAAATAAAGGACCTAAGTCATGGGACAGGCTACTTCTTATGCAACCATATGTCATATGTACCTTGTATAAAAAAAAAAAAAAAATTAACCATCACCCACGTGCGCATCACGTGATCGATACAAGCCCACCTGTGGGCCAGAGCTCCTGGGGCCACCTCAGCGAATCAGCTCGTTAAAATGGACCAATAGCATCGAGGCGCCGACGCCGATCTGGTCACGTGAACAGCGCGTGACCGTGCGCATCCTCGGTCTCTAAATCTCAACGTCTCCTTCGTCCTCGGATGCTCGACTCCCAAAAAACCCTAGCGATGGCGAAACTCTTCGCTCTCGTCTCCCTCCTCCCTCTCCTCCCTCTGTTATGCTCTTCGTTCAGCGCCGACGGACCGACCGATCGCCGCATCCTCGTCCTCGTCGACGACCTCGCGCTCCGATCATCCCACTCGGTCTTCTTCGACTCCCTCAGATCCCGAGGTTTCGATCTCGATTTCAAGCTCGCCGACGATCCCAACCTCGCTCTGCAGCGCTACGGCCAGTACTTATACGATGGACTCGTCCTCTTCGCCCCTTCAGTCGCTCGTAATCTCTCTTTTGCTCTCTACAGGAACGAAATTCGAGTGCGAAAATGGTCGTTTTGAGTTGATTTTGACTTTTTTTAAGGGTTTGGAGGGACGGTGGATCAGGCGGCGGTTCTCGATTTCGTGGATGCGGGTCGGGATCTGATCCTGGCGGCGGATCCGTCGGCGTCGGAGTTGGTTAAGGGGATCGCGGCCGAGTGCGGGGCTGATTTTGATGAGGTTGGTGGAGATCTTGGGGGGTTCTGATTTGTTTTTTTTTTAGCTTTGTTTTTGGGTGATTGACGGTTTAATTTGGGGTTTAGGATTCGGATGCGATGGTGATCGATCACGTTGGGCACGCGGCGTCGGAGGTGGAAGGGGACCATACGTTGATTGCAAGTGATGATTTTGTTGAGTCTGATGTGATGTTGGGAGAGAAAAAGATCAAGGTGAGGATTTGGCATTTTGGTTATAAATGTGGTAACCCCAAACTTTGGTGTAGAATGAAAAGTTTAAACTATTGCATATTGCAATGTTGAGAATCATGGCTACATTTGGTAGCAATGTGCTTTGGTTATCTGCTTGCCTGCTTCTCAGCAGAAATACGCGATTACTCACATTATAGCAATTCCTCATGTATTTATCATTGAGAATCAACTCTCCCTCTACAGGCTCCTGTACTCTTCAGAGGAATTGGTCACTCACTGAATCCTGCTAATAGCCTGGTAACATCTAACCCCTATATATTCCAGAGCCTTTTCGGCAAGTTATATAACACTACAATTACTCTTGTCCTTATTATTTTCACTTACATTTGATCTTTGCTCAATATATGTGCCATTGTTATTCTCAATACATGCGCCATTTTGCAGGTCTTGAAAGTTTTATCTGCCTCTCCTTCAGCATATTCGGCTAACCCAAAGACGAAGCTTTCGGTTCCTCCCTCTCTCACAGGCTCTGCAATATCATTGGTCTCTGTTGTGCAGGTTGCTTTGATTTTGTAATCAGCCTACTGTTTTACGTTAAATTACTATGATAATTTAGTTGCATTCTGTTCATTTGGATGCTTGCTAATTTGCAGGCAAGGAATAATGCTCGCGTTCTAATTTCCGGATCACTGGACCTATTTAGCAATCGGTATGTAATTTGTAGTTTTTTTATTTCTTTTGGTATCTATTGTTCTCTTATGATTTCCCCTTTTTTGTAAATTTCCAGATTCTTAAGATCTGGTGTGCAGAAGGTTGGAAGCTCGATTAAGTGAGTAACATTCCATTTATTTATCTTCTTATTAGCATGCTTTTGTCACATATTTTTTAGGTCAACTTTAAACCTTATGTCCTCTTTTCCAGCTCGTATTGTTCTTTTTGTAAAGGAATCGGGTCCTCTCCAATTAGGTGGTAATCAGAGAGGGTCCAATTACTACAATCTTTATCGTCTATTTCTATTCCAAGTGATAAGATGAGCCCACTTAGGATTGTCTGTAAAGGAACACCAGTTTTTCTCTCAAACACGTTAGGCAAAAGATGTAATTTTCATACCTGGAAACTATGGCTTCCACCACCCAGTGTGCCTAGAACTAATCCTTTTTCTTTCTGTTTCTTGTTCCCTTTCCTTTTTCTTCCTTCTTTATGCAGCCGTTATCTTGACGAGATTTCTAGAAAGTGCATGTAGATATTAGTTAAGTTAGGTTGCTAGACATGCAAATGCTCCGGAACTCTTTGTCCTGCGCAGATATTTGTCTTGCTTGTATCATTAGTTAACTGTGTAGTCTGTATCATGCAGTTTGTTTAATGATTTTAATATCAGCTTTAATCTTAAATGTTGTTATTATGTATTGGGGGAGGGGTGGGGTGGGGTGGATTACGTGGACGCTTGAGCCGTGTGTCTGTGGATGGGTTGAGTGGGAGGGCATGGGTGCGTGCATCTTGAACAAGGAAAATGAGACAACCAATTGACACATGGTTACAGTAGTGAATGTTAATTATAGTGAGATGATTCATTTAAGAGAAGTCGGAAAGGCAACGACATGCAGTTAAAGCTCAATCATTTCTCACCTACAATAATGCATTTAGAGAAACATATATATCAAACATTTGTGTGCTTGCGCTCTTACTTATGTATCATATCTCATAGATACATTATACATATGCAAATATAATAACTTAATAGCAAATGTTGCTATTGAGATGCAAATATAATAACTTAATAGCAAATGTTGCTATTGAGGATGAATCTTTTTTGCCTGTCCCTTATTCTGTCCGGACTATTCTTTCTTACGTGCCTTCAAGTAGGAATTGACCTATGAGTTTTTCTGTTGCAGACATGAGAAGTCTGGTAACGAGCAATTTGTGATTGAGATTAGTAAATGGATCTTCCATGAAAGGGGTCATCTTAAGGTAAAACCTAAAAAATTCAGTTCTTTTCATAATTTCTTATTCTCAGTTGATTTCAGGCCATATGTATAATTGATGAGGGTTTTGTATAATTGATGGGGGGTTTCGGACGATCTCATTGTCTTTTAAGCTCATATATGTATATAATTCCTTGGTTTATGCTTGTAGGCTGTAAATGTCAAACATCACATAGCTGGAGAAACAAGCGAGCCTGCAATGTATCGAATCAATGATGATCTGGTAATTGCTTACCCATACTTAGACAACAGATGTCACTAGGAACTACAAGTGATCAAAAAGCGGGTTGTTTTTAATGGTACATTCTCATGCTTGCACTGTGGTTGCAGGAATACTCCGTGGAGATCTATGAATGGTCTGGAGCAGCCTGGAAACCATATGTAGCAGATGATGTTCAAGTTCAGTTTTACATGATGAGTCCTTATGTGCTGAAAACATTGTCCAATGACGAGAAGGTATACCTGTACTTTGTGTTAATTTAGATGTTGCACTTGCAGTGGCACATTTTCTAAGATCTCGATGATTTCTTGTGGCAGGGTCTTTACTCAGCGTCATTCAAGGTTCCCGATGTTTATGGTGTTTTCCAGTTCAAGGTGGAGTACCAAAGGCTTGGATATACAAGCCTTTCACTTGCAAAGCAGGTATATATATTTTCATGCATGGTTTTACCTGAATAGGATGAAATCATTGTTTGCAAAAGCAATTAAGCTAGAAAAAACTCGTCACTTTCAAGCAGCAAATATGTTTTCCATGCAAATAAGAATCTTCTATTTTTCCGGTTATACTTAATGTATCTAAAATATGTCAAACTGCAGATTCCCGTGAGACCTTTCAGACACAATGAGTATGAGAGATTTATTACAACAGCCTACCCATACTATGGCGCATCATTTTCAACTGTAAGCTCTCTTTTTAGCTTTCAGCTATTTATGTACCCGATACTGTGATGTTTAAGCAATTTATTCTTGCTATCAAATTCTCCGGATGGAGGCTCTAAAAACTCTTCTTGCGTTTGCAGATGGCTGGGTTTTTCATATTCACAATTGCCTATCTTTATCACAAATAGATTATTCTTGAGTAGGGGTGATCACCCTTGTCAACATTATTCGAGCATGAGATACAAGCATAATTCTTGAAGCATGAGATGGAAGGGACATACTTCGTTGAGGCAGATCATAGCAGAACACAACAATATTATTGAGCAGAAACTGCAATGTTATTAGGCGGAAGCAGAACAAATAGTGAGTTGACTAAGTCACAGGCAATGTGTAATTCACTACTTAAAAAAAAAGTTTTGATGGCTTCTGATTTATAAAAGAACTAAATTATTTACTTCGCATTTTATTCTGGATGTTTGAATAATTTTGAATAATATTGAGAATAGGAGTTGAACAGTTATAAGTTGGGACTGCTTGGTTTGCAAAAAAACCTGGAAATGTAACTGAGGTTGTAATTTGCGAAAGGGAGCTGTAATTGCTCTTGAAGTTGTAACCATAACTGGCATGTCTCAAGTCTGCAGAACATCACTGCAGACAGACGAAGCTGCTTGTGTGAAGTATGTATCTCATCCAGCTACGAATATACCAGATTTCTATCTCAAAAAACTCACTTCACAATTAGACGCATACATCTCATCTTCACCGCCGCATACAAAATGAATTGCTACGACATTGACAAACCATGCGCTAGTTTTACGAAATCATGAGAAACGGGAACGCACAAAATCAAGAATTTACAAAGCTTGTGCTCTTTTTTTTTTATAACGCATTCAAAACTAACTCCAAAGAACAATATGTCCATCACACCAACACGACAACAAAATTTCCGAAGCAGGAAAAAACATCATGAAACCGACACAAACAAAAACCGTTTGCATGCAAAAAAGTTACACAAGTTTTCTTCAGAAACTAATTAAGAGCTCAAAAGGAGAAACGAGAGGACCGCTGCTGCGAATGAAAGCTTCGTCATTGCTTGCAGATTACCGAAGTATCGTGCAGCTGAAGAAGCGCCAGGTGGCGCATTCCCGCTACCGGGTGTACTGTATTCTTTCGAACAAGTGAAATTGCAGCGGCTTGGACGAACTACTCTATATACCCCTTTGCTGGTCAGAACATAGACATCTTTGTTATTATCTTCACCAAATGAGAATATGTAGCCAAGAGACGGGAGAGAAGTTTCAGGGTCGGTATCACAAGGAATCGGAGAACTATCCGAACATTTGAAAGGAATCATGGTACTGCTGTAATTTCCGCTACTTTCTGGGTTCTCGGTACCGACCCACATTGCTCCGGCGTAGAGATCTGCGTATACGTACCTGAACAAATAATGAATACGGAATTTTATGACATAGTCAGCTCCAAGTAAGTACACTTATATGCATTGAATAAGTATCTGGATTATACACACACGTGCTTGTTCATGTAAATATGTATCTGTGTTGAATTAGTAAGTATGAGATGGCAACTGAATGAGCTATCAACGATAGACAAGCGGTTAGACCCGCCTTGCTAGTAACACCGAAGCACATTCACCAATTATATCTCTTTGTAGCTCAGTTTGCTAAATGAAATCGCCGCTCATAAGTCATATTGGTATATGCTCTCTCTACGGAAATACACACGTACATGCATACATGGTAAGGTTATAATACGCATAGGGTGTAACTAGTTTAGCAACACGCCTGTGAAAATACATAGTTGGCCGTCAATATTAATGATTCGAGCCGCTCATGATGGTCTATACATTATAAAATTCATGGAGATAAAAAAATCACATAAATTCAATATTTCTAGGCTACCCATCTCATAACCTAGAATTGAACGGTCAGTAGAAGTCCCCAAAGTCGGTTTTTTCCGAGTTGCTAGAATTACAGAATCTAAAGTCCCAACACTTGTGATTTTTGATCCGCTTGCTTTTATAGATAACAACGAATGGTTTGGATTAACAATATTGATAGAAACATGTGTTTTTTCCATCGGTGTGTGCGTATCGAAGTTAGTTACAGTGAGATGAACGGGAGAAGGGGTCAGACCTAGATTCAAAGAAAAATTTTTGGGAGGTAATGTTGCGCATAACATGACCCAGGTTTAAGTCAATGAAAAGGATATTCAGGTGGCAAGGGCATGGTAAGTTACAAATTTA